TAATCGATTGACTGAATCGACCAAGAGGGGGGGTGAATTGGCAATAAAAATTTTTGTGGAAGCTTTTGTAGAAAATTGAAAGAAATTGCACAGCGATTTAGAGTGTTCGACTTTATCAACCAAAGTCTACGTCCACTACCTTAGCTATCCACACTAAGGATTTTCCAACAAATTCACTAATTTTTTCTTTCTTTTGAGGCCAAAGAGATAACCTTACAACTCCCTCAAGAATATACACCAATTCTTGAGAACACTCTTTTCTCAAAGAGAAATACAAATTTGCAAACTTACAAGAAAAACCTCACAAGGAAAATATGTTTGCACAATTCTAGAACAAAGAAAGAACACTCAAGAATAAATATAATTGAGCACAATAAGTGTTCTTGAAAGCAAAATGAATATTGAATGAAAAATAGGCTTGAAATGCTCAAACTTGAGGTTTGATGCTTTCTCTTTGATTCTCTCTTGATTCTAATTGCTTGATGTTTTTTGTTATTGATCAATGGCTTCTAAGCTTGCTTAAATACACCTTGAATCAATTCTGAACGTTGGGGATAATTAGAGAAAATAATATAGCCGTTTTAGTGTGAAAACAATTAATAAAACAGTTTGGAGCGTGGGGGGAATCGGTACCCCCTATGGGGAATCGATTCCCTAAGTGTAAAATTCAAATATTTCGACCGTTATACAAGGGGGGAATCGGTTCCCTCTGAGCATACTGGAATTCTCGGAGCCAAACCTTTCAGGGGGGAATCAGTACCCCCTTGCGGGGGAATCGGTTCCCTCTGAGCAATCTAGAATTTTTGGCTTTGAAATGGTTCGAAATAATTTGTAAAATTATTTTGAAATTGTTTTAAGTTTAAAAATTAATTTTACACTTTGAGTAAGGATTAAAAATGATCTTTGAAAGATTTGGAGTAATGTTTTGATATTCGAATAATTCTATCGAATATACTTAGAAAATCATTTGGAAAATCTTAAAATTCATTTAACTTAATTTGTTATATCGAAATATCAAAATGTTTTCAACACACATGAATCATAGTATAATTCTAAAGTATCAACCTTAAATGTCGGATTAGATCGGTTAGCAATCGATCCCTTCAATAGGACCTCATTTTTAGAATCCGATCAAATTACATCAGTTTCATGTTATCCATTCTGATAACTACTAAGTGTCTCTGAGAAATACTTGGATATCCTAGTGTGTTCCACATGTACTACATGACGATTTTATATGTTTTTAAATGAGTTTCACTGAAATTATTGATTTACGGGTTTATGAATCATGGCAACATGTTATATGTTTTCCGATTATGGTTTTCACTGAAAAATATGAATTATTCCTGATTTATGAAGTCATGGAATCTACTGGTTTTATGAACTATGGTTACTTGAAATATATTATCGGGTTTCCTATTTTCGCTGGAAAATATGATCTTGATAGATCACATACTGCATATTTTTATGAGACAATACCTGATATTCTGAATAAAGTTTATTTTGATATCTGGTTTACCACATATTTTTTATATGGTTTCTGGTTATGGTATTTTTGTACATGATTTCTAAATATGGAACATTTTTATATTTTAATGGATTAATTACCGTTACCGCAGGTTCCTTTACTGTGTGTAAGGGTGAGCCTTACAGTTTCCCCAGGTTCCTTTGTTGTGTGCAAGGGTAAGCCTTACAGTTTCCCCATGTTCCTTTGTTGTGTGCAAGGGTAAGCCTTACAGTTTCCCCTAGGTTCCTTTGATATGTGCAAGGGTGAGCCTTACAGTTTCCCTAGGTTCCTTTGCTGTGTGCAAGGGTAAGATCTTATAGTTTCCCAGCTCTTTTGCTATGTGCAAGGGTAAGACCTTACCATTTTTTCATGCTCATCTGCTTTGTGCATAGGGTAAATATGTTTTAAAATGCTATTGTTTTAAAAAGATTTGTATCTTTTTATTGGTTTTGCGGGAACACACTAGATAACATATTCTGATCTCCTGAACCTAAACATTCGAAATATTTCCATTTAAACTGAATACTATCTGTTACTACCTGAAATATCAATGGGACCTCAGCTCAGCCTAAAAATTTGTAGATATCTGAACCAATAAGGAAATATATGGTTATCTGTATATGCACGTTCTTCAGCATTATATGGTAGTTCTGTATTACAAAGCTTTCAGAAGCTCACTCTATTTACTCACCATTGTAGGTTAAAAAAATTGTACCAGTACAGTTATCGACTAAAGTAAGGGTGTTCTTCCGATGTTGTTTGTAGAGTTTGGTACATGTGATTAGGGGGCATGTAATTGTATTTTGTTTAATATACGAGTCTGAAAATCTGTTTTATTTATGCATACTGATAAATCATTTTATAAGTTACATGTTTTAATTACAGTTTTAAATTTTCCGCTATTTTTACAGTGGGTCGCTCCGGTGGCCCTAATGTGACACTCCAGATCGGATCAGGTTACCCACATCGGTCTGAGGGGGTTACAATTAAATAATCAAAAAGTAGTATAAAAAAAAACATATGGCTGAAAATGAAACAACCGATTGAAAACGAGTTGAGGCCTACAACTATGTAGTTTCCTTAAGACATATTTTCGTCCACTCCTTGGTGCTCGAGATCTTTGGTAGTTTGTCTCCCAGGATACAACAATGAGATGATCAACACACAATAGCACAACTGTCGAGATAACAAACTATTCATTGCCTTCGTCTATCACCGAAAAAAAAACTAGAGGAGAAAACTTTTTTTAATAGCTTTTGAGTTGTTTTCAATTATGTTTAACCTAGTAGGTTTAAATTGTATTTATAGGGATTTTACATTGTGAACAATTGAAAAATTTTGACCTAATGAAGCATTAATGAGAATCAAGCAATTTCTAAAATTATTGTTTTGAAGAAAGGGACCTTTTAATGTTTATCCTTTTAATTCCAAAACAAAATTTGAAAAGATATGCACAATTTGAGGAAAAAAATATTTCACCTTTGGGTGAAAATATCCGCAAGCCCATAAAGAGCCTGACCGGTTTAGACATTAATGTTACCCACATCGTGTACGTTTGCACATGTGTGAACCAACAATTGGTTTCACATTTTCCTCAATAACATTGGATCAATTTCTCATAGAAAGCTCCAAAATTATCAAAATTTTTCTAACAAACCCAACCACTCAAAATTTACATAATCAATTTCACCAGTGATCATAATGTGTACCTTCTAATTTTTCTAACCAACATCACCAAATACAACGTTCGTCGCTGCAGGTACCCAATAAGACAACACTTCAATCTTCTACAGCCTATCTAACTTAGTAAATCCGAGCATAACTTCTTATTCGTCTTCATCTATGCCAAAATCAAGTTTCTTCATAAATTTTCAAGCTCGATTAGCTTCTTTCAAGATCATTTCTTTCGATTGTTAAAATAAAAACTAATAGATATAATTGAATGAATGTAACTTTAAATAAAAAATAAGTTTATTCATCAAGTAACACGGCTTATTATTAATAAGTCTATTCATCAAGTGACGGATTTATTATAAATAGCATCAATATCATTCAACCAATAATCCATTGTTTTCCCAACCGAATGTAAAGGAATAATGGTTGCTTTTTAAAATTGTGTATTTACACCTTATTAATTTAATTTATTTGTGAACCTTGTATGATTCTTTTGAGATCATTTTATATCCAATGTACGCAGATTTTTTAATAAAATATTTACTGTATAATTATATATATATATATATTTTGAATAACAAAAAATGAGGACACTTTGTGAGATGATCAACACCCACAAAGATAATGTTTTTCTTTGCACCATTAATATCAATTTGTTAAATTAAATGTATAATTTAATCGAAAATCTATTAATGAAATTCATAGTACTTCTAGACCAACTAAGATATTATACTTTTGGACTTCGAATTTATTTACCTTTCTTTAAAAGATAAATATTATATCTATTCATGTATAATGATTTTATAATCATTGGAGTATTAAATGGATGCATTTTCTGTATTAAATATCTACAAGACCTTTTATTACGTCAATTTATAGATAAAAGATTTTGTATTTTAAAATACTTGAATGCATAGCATGGACGGACTTAGCGAACTTGAGAACTAAGTTGAATTTGGTGTCCAAGTTGATGGGTATGTTAAAAGACCTAGTTGAAATCAATTTTAATTGTTTTCTAACAAAATTGATATCGGATTAGTTTCTTTTTTCGAAAGATGGATGTATGATTAATATATAAAAGGATATATAAGAACACGATATTGACACGAACCTCATTAAAATACCTCCCACACTTAAATAGAAGAAAAAGAGTGCTATAATTCAATACACAATCAAACAAAGCAGCAAGAATAAACCACACTTTACACCTCAACAAGAATTATAAACCAAAACCCCAGAAAAAATAAGAGCTTTAGTATCTGTATATGTAAGCTTGACGTTCAGAGTGGAGGGCTCATCGGTCAAGTTACTAGTGGAATTCTGGGCCACAACGATGACTGCATTAGTCGTAAATCCTGGAATTACCGAGATCATATTTGACATCATAAATTTGCCTTGTCATGACAGGCTGGTCCACCGTGATTTGGGCTTCTTTGATATCACGTAAATAATTTATGTTTATTTTTTAATGACAGGTAATCAAAACGAAATTAAAACGTAGTGTTTTGTATGATTTTTTAAAAAAATAGTATAGTGATCAAGATGAAATTGTTAGAATAAGTCATAACTGGTTGACTAATTATGTAATTTACCCTACATTTAAAAAACAAAATATTAATATTATTAATAGTTTCATTTAAAAGGTTAAGATTTTAATATATTTTTTTTCGAGTTGCTTGCGAATTTTTCGAGTCAAGTATATATAACTCAACTTCGACTCATTAAGAATTTAAATCAAATTTGAGTTCAAATAGAGTCTTTTGAATCATTCGTTGATTGACTCAAACAGAAATAGCTCACTTCATTTATACAGCCCTACCTACAACTTCTTCCCTCCAACCAGAGGCGACTCGTCGTAGCCTTTATTGATTTTTTCGGTGTACTTACGGTGTCGCCTTTCTCTAGAGTATAGCAAGGAAAAGAACAAGGAGAACATCAACGAAATGGTGGCGCCGACCAAACCACCGTAAACCCATGCACTGTATTTCTTCAGATTTGGACAATGATCTTGTGTTATGTTCCTCAAAGTGTCTTCTACAACAGTGCAGTCTACAACGGTGGGCAAGAAGTAACTGGATTCGTATAACCCGTAGCTTATATTCACTGCTTTACTCATCTCCTCGTACATATCTGGCGTTAAACGCCCTTGTGTGATGCAAAATCCCTTTTTTGAAACTTCACATACGTATTTCTTCCATTCCTGCATGAAAAATATTTTTCATAACATGGTAAATGAATGTGAATGATTCTAATTTTGGACTGGTTTTAAAGTTGGAAAACAAATAGAGCTTCTACGTGTACATGTATATATAACACCCTCAATATGGTCTGGACGGTAAATGTTAATGGAATTTAATTCAAATATCGAAAAGAAAATTTTCGATCATAAAATAAAAAAATAAAAAAAGGTTAAACTACTAAAATGACCACTTAACTATAAGGTTAGTGTCGATATAACCATTATACTTTTCATTATAGCAATATGACCACATAACTATTAAAGTAGTCTCAATGTAGCCACTTGTCATTATAAAACAAACGGCATAGTTGGTGTGGACCTTTAACTAGTCGTTAGTCAATGATGGCCACATCAGCTCGTTTATTTTGTAACGACAGGTGACTATATTGAAATCACTTGAATAATTATGTGATTATATTTTCAAAATTGAAAGTATGATGATTATATCAATTTTCTAATCTCGATTGTGATGTTAAAAAACTCTACATCGAATAATGATCCTTACATTACTTGTATTATTTTTCTTTTGAAATCAATCTAAACCAAACCTTATATATCTAACGGTTATTATTATTATTATTACTGTTCTGAAAATTTTGTGTATTTTGTAAATAAAACTTATTTTGTCGAAACAAAATTAATATAGGTAGAACAGTAAAGGATTTATTTATAAATCTTATTAAATACGAATTCAATTCTTAAAAATAATTGGTGACCATGGATAATATAAAAAATAACCCCTATTGTTTATTAAAATGGACATTTTGGACCCTAATTGTTTTTACACATTTTGCCCTTAATATTTCATTTTAGGGGCAAAAAGGTCCGTCTATAGATTAAAACCATTAGTTAATAAATAATTAACACTTCAAAATAAGGAATTTTTACCTAGAAATGTAATGCTGGAAGCCAAAATGCTCCAAAAGAAAAGAAATGGTCAAAGTAACTATTTATTCAAATGTCGGAGACCTTTTTGACCTTAAATGAGATGTTAAAGGTCAAAATACTCTGAAAAAAGTATAGGAGATAAAATGATTATTTTGATAAATGTTTAGGGACTAAGTTTGACATTATGCCATCAGTTAACCAGTGATACTAAATTCAGTGCGAACTTTAATTATGAGTAAGTGTAGATTATTACCTCTTGTGCTTTTTTTAATGGCACTAGATCACCACAATTCTGTTGAGAGTTTTGATGTTTATACGGATCGCAGACCAAAGGCACTAAGGGACCAGATTGATTGTAATGATCAGTTTTTTCGTTGGAAAAGTTAATGTCTTGGTTCAGCAAATCGTTAATACTTGTGGTCACGGCTTTGCCTGCTTGCTTGATCTCCTCGCCTGCTTCCTTGTTCGCACACGGGAGAATTTGCTCCAGTGCCGAATTCACCGTTGGGTCTTCGACCCATTCGCCCATCGCAACGCATGTATCCGACACTATGCTGCATTATTCGATCTGTTAATTTGGTTAAAATCGAATACCGACCACCTCGATAACCATCTATCAATGAAAATAGTTAGTTAATAGACTTACCTATGGAACACCAGAAACATTCCGCATAAGATGAATGTGAGTGATATGATAATCCACCCAAGGACCACGAATCTACCATTACAAGGCGTAGATTTTCAGTTAAAGAACATGCAGAATTAAGGAAGAAAGAAAGGCGATATAATTCCAAGTTACTTACATATACACACAGGTTTTCATGCCGAGAATGGAGAACACTGCGATCCATTCAAAAACAACAGCAATGTGAGGAGACAACTAACATAAGATGAATAATTAAAGAAATATTATGGACTGGAAGCATAGGGGTGTAGATTAACGTACCTTTTGATGAACTATTCCTAAATGAATATATGTGTGTTCGGTTCGTTTATGTTCAATAAGGTCCTTTATCGACTCGTTTACTCGATTTCCATTTTCTTTTTATTTTTGAGTAAAGTACATAAATAGTCCCCTGACTATAGGTTGCTACTTTATTGAGTCTCCAGACTATTAAAAGTTATAAAACAGTCCCCTGGCTATAGGTTATTGCTTTCTTGAGCCCCTCAACTACTACAAGGTACAAAATAGTCACCCGACTATTCATATGTTCCAAACTCGTCCTCTTCCTCTAAAAACAATTAACGGTAGTATGAGTTGTACGTTAACTTGCTGACCGAGATATGCTAATATAACCGTTTGAATTGTATAATTGCTTAAGATTCTAAGATCGTATTTATTATATCCCAGTCAGCATGCTAACTTCAGCTCAAACGACCGTCAATTTTTAACAAATAATAATGAGTTTGAAATATATAAATAATAGGGTGACCATTTTGTAACTTTTAATAGTCAATAGACTCAATAAAATAATAACATATAGTTGAGGGATCATTTTGTAACTTTTAATAGTCAAAGGACTTAGCAAAGCAACATCCTATAGTCGGGGGACCATTTATGTACTTTATCCTTTATTCTTTTTACATTTTAGATATCGGTGAATATAAAGACTAAATTGTTCATATGATAAACTGTAAAGTTTAAAATATAAAATCTAAGAAAATTAAGAATTAATGACATAATTTCACTATATTTCTTTGCTCGCTAATGAAAGTGTAAAAGAGAGCGTGCAACCAAACTATTCACGGATTCTAAACCAATCGGACATAAACAACTTTAAAACTAAATAAATAAATATGAATTTAATAGAATTGAATATGAATACTTTCAAAAATAAATAAAATAAATAAACAATAACACAACCTTAATTATTCAATTCCGATTCATTTCCACCCGAAGGGAACCAAAATGACTTACCCAATCCGAGAAATGCCAAGACGAGCATGATGCTGGGAATATCAACAAGAGCAGTGTTCCTGTAATAAAAGAGCAGGTAACATGAAGCTATTATAAATGCACTTTTGTGTCTAAATTGTATGAAAATGATGATATAAACTAACGTACGCATTTTTAAAGAACTCTTTGATTTCAGTGGTGATGTCTTCGGCTCTGATCTGAGGAAGCCTTCCGATGGAGTGAATCATCTGCTTGGCCTTGTCGATATTCTCTTTCAGTTCATCAGGCACATAATCTTTGTTCAGAACCTCCTTGGCCGATATTAATAGATTCTGTATGCGTACAAGATTGTCCCAGATGCTTACCGCTTTGTTCACCAAGTAGCTTGTGAATTTCTTTACACTTTCCAGGAATCTTTTTTCTCCGGTGAACATCACATAGCTTCCCGCTCTGCATGTTTAATACTTAAACTATTTTTTTTTTGTTTCGTTTTGATATCTTAACTTTATTTTTCTCAAAATCATACCTAACTTTAAGTTTAGCTTTCATTATGGTACTCGCCGTTAAAAACTTAACAGAATTGTTAACATGATATTTTTTTATTTATTCTTTTCAAGGGACACGTGCAATCACCTTATGATGAGACATCAATAGGTGATTATAAACTTACATTGCAGTTATGGTGAAAAGGATGAGACAGACGAGAGAGAATGCATAAACATATCGGGAGTAGCCGAAGGGTTTCTTGCGTTGGCAGAAGCAGCAACAGATGCAGGCACATATAAGAAACATACCCACCACCACGAACCAAATTATAGCCATCGCCATGAATGGAAATGCAGTATAAGCAACTGACTGCATTAAAAAACGGATTATCTCATATCCCGTTGATTTTAAGGTCACGCATGAAAAATAATTTAGACGTGTATAGGGTTTTAAAAATGGCATAATACCAAAAAATATCCCTAACATGTAATTAAATAATCATTTTAGTCCCTATTATTCTTTGAATATTTTGAGTCCTAACATTTCACACAAGGCCCTAATGCTCGAGTAAATAGTCGCTTTGATCCATAGTATTTTTTTTAGCATTTTGGCCTCAAACATTTTAATTTAGGGCATAAGGCACCTAATGTTTAACTAAATAATCACTTTGATCCATATTATTTTTTTAGCATTTTAACCTCCAACATTTTATTTTAGGGCATAATGCACTTATTCTTTAACTAATAGTCTTTTTTTTTGCATTCCGTCCCGAACGTTGCATTTTAGGGCATAAGACCTCTAATGTTTGACTAAATAGTCACTTTGACATGTTCTTTTTCAACATTTTGACCTATGATATTGCATTTTAGTGCACAAGACCCTTAACGTTTGATTAACTAGTTACTTGACCCTTATTTTTTATAGCATTTTGGCTCATAGTATTTCATTTTTAAGGTAAAAGACCACCCCTATTTTGGAGCATTCAGAGTTTGATGACTAATAATTTCCATCAATGGAATGATACTTTTACCTTAAAATGAAACGTTGGAGGGCCAAACTATTCTAAAAAAAGAAAAAATAAGAGCCAAAGTAACTAATCAATAGTTAGAAACATTTTTTTTGGCATTATGTATTTAGAAATCTTACTGCATAGTAATGTTGATTAGTTATATCCCATCCTCCTGTATACGTACGAAAGCCATCCGTAGGGTCAGGCCTCCTCGTCTGTTTCTCAGCTAAAATTATGGAATAATTCCCTTCTGTAATTTCTTCAATTTCCGTATCTCGCTTCATGGAGCTCAAAACTACTGCACATAAAAAAAGGGAAACATTTTCACATCAAGAAAACATTTTTCTCCCATTTTTTTCGCACAATAAAATATATTTTATTAATAAAAGTAATATTAACTCTAAAATAAATAAATAAAATTGTCAATAATTGTTTCAAAGAAGCTTAAAGGTAATTACACGTTTGGTTTACATTTTCTCGAAAGAAATGTTGGAAAAAATGTGATAAATCGAGAACTTTGAGGCATATTTTCTAAGTTTAAATATGGAGAATACGTATCAATTTACAGTGGGAATGCATATCGGCATCGTCATGGCGTCGGGCTTGAGAAAGTGGGATGAAAGTTAATAAAATAAGAATGATAAAGAATGGATTCAGGAGTTTAGGTCTAAACATGGTTTTTTTCTTCTTCATGAAATTGTTTGATCTCCTGGTTCCATCTTTTCCCCCTTGAAGAAACAATGAAGGGATTTGGCGATGCACTTAATTTAACCTCATGTTTTTGTACGTTAAATGGTTGCCTCCTCCTTGAAGCGCCTAACATTTTTTATGTAAACTTTGTTTTTGGCTAGTCTATATTTGTCTGCAAATTGTTGTTCCTTGTTTTACCTTAGCCCACCATGTGGGTGAAACATGTTTCTTTTCTTTTTCAAATAACAATAATGTAAAAAAGTTTAGTATTTGTTTTTTTAAAAGTGAGCTTTTTTGTATTAAGGGAAAATAATAGGGGTGAACAAAGAAATTGAATAAACTGATTTTTTTTTTTTGTATTTGAATTGTTTATGGGTTATAAGTTAAAGATTATGGTTATATGAATTAATTTGAATTATATTTTTTAAATTTATAATTATTTTTATTTGGGTACACTATAGTAGGGGTGTGCATTATCGGATATCCAAAAATTTCGGATACCTATAATAATGATCCGTATCCGAACCAAAAAAAAATCAGATATTCGAAATTTCAGATCGGATATCCAAATATCCGGATCCAAATCCATTTTTTAGCAAAAAAATTAAAACAAATTAACATAAATTAAAATATTCATATTTACTTGTTTTCCAATAATTTGTTTATGTAATTACATGCCCCACTACAATTAAAATTTTAAATAACATAGTACAATAAAATAGTCCCCTAAATGTTAAATAGCATAAAGTAGTGTACATTAACAACACAATAAACCAACACAAGATGTGCAAAATAAAAATATTACATAAGAGTATCAAGTCTCAAATCAACACAAGATGTTCATATTAAAAATACCACACAAGAGTATCAAATTTCAACAACATAATAAAATCAACACATGATGTTCAAAAATAAAATACCACACAAGAGTATCAAGTATTAACAACATAATAAAAGAGATAGTAGGATCAGTAAGTACTTCAAAATTTCAAAGTACAAATTTTACAAATCATCCAAAGTATTAATTGTCTCGACAATTATGATCTCCGGTTGCTCTAAAGTTAGATCCTTCATGGCTACATCACACGAAATAAAATAAAAAAGGTTAAAATATACATTTATGTTTAAACTTTAAATATTGAATAAACAAAAAAAGAAGCAATCAAAAGTAAAAATAAACTTACCTTCCTCAAACTCTTCCAAGGCAATTAAACTTTCCTCTATTATAATAGGTGACCGAGAGGTGTGTAACCAATCTTGAGTGCAAACAAGTGCTTTAACCATTTTTGGAGTCAATGAAGTGCGAAAAGAATCAAGGACAAAACCCCCATACTAAAAGCCGACTCAGAAGCTACAGTCGAGATAGGTATGGCAAACACATCTTTAGCCATCCTATGAAGAATTGAGTATCTTTTTGGTTGATCTTTCCACCATTGTAGGATATCAAAATTTGAAACATGAGACTCACAAGCATCTTCTAAATACTTCTCCAACTCATTTTTGTTGGCACTAGTTAACAAACAACCCGTATCCCTTTAAAATTTTGAAGCCATAAATTGTTGAAGATCAATCTTACCTTCACTTTGAGTCCCAACTTGAGTGAAATTAGATAAAGAAGTAGAAGTGGAGGAAGACATATGTTCGCGTGTTGTGAGTACTATAAATTATACGCAAATAATGTGCAAGTATACACAATCGCTCAAGTAATATAATGATGAGTGAGTATCGTCTCCACAGGGATTGGGTGAAATTACAAAAGTCTAACCAAAGCAATGCACTATTCTATCTAAGTATAGTTAGTCTTGATATATACAAATGTCACGGCAATGTAAATGTGTATGCTGGTGGATATGTAGTGATGGTCTGATGGTGTAGCAAATGGAAATGCAATGGCAATGATGGATGTTTGATGTTGAGTATGGTGAAATGTCAAGGCAATGAAAAATGGTAAAAACAGTAGATAAAGATAAAATGAAAAGAAAATAATCCTCACGTGACAATCTTCCAAGAGAATGAATGGTAGGGATTGATCTACGGATGCTAAACTTATTTCTCATGTATATTTAAGCTAACTGGTCTTTACTTACTCAACAGGGCTTTCCTAAAGTGTTCTAAAGAACCTAACAGAATAGGATGCCAAGGCATCTGCTCTCACTCAACGATGTTGGCCAGCCTACCCTATTGATAAAGACACCCTTTTTAGTCGTTGAAATCCTATCCTAGCCTCTTCCGAGATCTAAGGGATTAAGTTATAATATTCCTAGGCCGGTTCAAAGCCTCTTGAAAATACTATAACCCATTGCTTATGAGGTTCTTATCTTGCGTTTCTTCCGAATACTTACAAGTATTTTTAGTCTAGGATTCTTCCGAATACCTAACCTCCATCTAAGAAATGGATATTTCCATGCCTCTTACAAGCCTAGATGGTGAAGCATTTATAAGCAAAGCAAATAAAGAACAAAAATAAACTTAAATATACCATTAAAAATAAAGTTCAAACAACCATTAAATCAACCACCACCAAATAAGTTAGTTCATGGTGGGGTTCAAAATATCCAAACACAAAGTCATGAAAATATTTGTTCCAACAACCCACAAATAAATATAAAATAGCAGCAAATAGGGAAGTTGAGAAGAAGCCTTCGACGCGCCACTGGAGGTCTCCTCTCGGCCATCGTGAACTACCTAGCTCGCTAGCTCCTTTCGGCTCCTAGCTCGCTAGCTCCTTTCGGCTCCTGGCTCGCCACTCCTTGGAGCTTTATCAATGGAGGAATATCCCAAGGAAGAAGAAAGGAAAAGAGAAAATAAAAAATGTGATTTTTGCTACCGTATGTGTCCTCCTCCCTTTTTTTTTCTCCCCCATGAGATGTCATATATAATAAAAAATATCTAGGGGTAATGATGAGGTTGTTGGGTGCAAAATACCTCTCATACCCCTAGAATCACATGTTGGGTGTGAACCTTATCCTCCAAGTGGCAGTGGTCCTTTGGCAGCTCTGGCAGGCGGTTACAGCAGTCCTTCACGTGCAGAGACAGCTGTCCAGTGCCAGTTGTCCTTATGCATAAATTTTTTTTTTGTCTTTTTCTGCGCCAGAAATGCCAAGGCATTTCAATCTGCTTTAGCAACGTGTGATGCCGCGGAATTACTTCCCAAAGAATCCTTTTTTCTTGCTATTCCCTGCACACCACAAACAAACTGCACATTTCCCTCAAACAGCACCATTAAGAAATAAAATAGCACAACCACCACAAATGCACTATATGCAACTACATGATCCTAAAATGCCTAAAATGAGCTTTTAAACAAACAATAACTTAAGTGAAAAAGGCCTTAACAGTAGCCTTTTTAGGAAGTTAACACACCCCCAAACTTAAACTATTGCTTGTCTTCAAGCAATGGATAGCAGTTACATAAGCAGAATGTCATGGCAATTTTCTACAATAGGGGCGTAGGAAAAAATTGAATTTCAACCCTCAGAAAAAAAAATAAGCTTCAACATGCTAGACTTATCAAGAATTCAAGTATTTTTCCCTAGTTCAAGATCCCTTGTGGTAGTGTGTGTGCGTGATTGTATCCAATCAATACTTAGCAAACTTAGACTATTTCTAATCAAGCCCCCTAGTTTTTTCCAAGGCATTTACTTATTCATCAAGCACATTTTTACTCCCTTTTCTTTGATTTTTTTTAATTTTGTTACGAAGGGAGTCAGCTCATCACACCTACTCTCCCACACTCTAGATGAAAGGGAGCATACCTTCCACCCCCGAGCTAGTTAAGTAGAGTCATCCCGTGACTACTTTCATTCACTCATATGCACAAGGCTGCCATTTATTAAAGAAAGTTCCAGGCAATGCCATGGCAAAGAGGAGTGTCCCTCTACATCTATGCCTAAGCATTTATTCACAGTTTCATTTTTAAGGGAGTTTGTTTTTGATTTTTATTTTAAGAACAAAACTATATTTCAATGTCAAAACTAACTAGTGTTCTTTCATAAAAATTTTCTAAATTTTCTAAGTATAGATAACATACAAATCGTGTAAAAGTTTTTCATAAAGAATCAAGCCCTAGAGTGAGTTCTATCATTCTCAACAGTCATTTACATTCAGATTCTAGCCTAACATTATCATCATCGGGTATCCTCAAAACATTTCATCTAACTGTCCTACCATTTTCTGATGCCATGGCATAAACCTATGCTAATTCATCATGCATATGACCTACCAAGAACCATACCTCCCCCAAATTTAAGGGAAGCATTGTCCTCAATGCTGAAAGAGAACTATACTAAATATAAACTATATGCCATGCAATGAAATGCAACCAAATGAGAATGGATGTAAGAGAGGTACCTCAATGAGTACGTGGTGTTGCCTTGGAGGTGCTAGCAGCTCCTCGTCGGGTGCGCTTGCGTATAGGTGCTGGGCTGGACTCGGACGAAGTGGAGTAATAATGCGTAATATTGGAGCGTCCAGCCGTGGTTTTGATGCATTTTCCACGACGTGGTGTAGGAGAAGGTTTGGGTACTGGGACAGGGTTGGGTGTTTCTTCGACAGGGATAGTGACCAGATACTCAGGAGTTTCGGTAATTTCGTCTGGGAAGCCAGGGAAATTTCGTTGATCGTGGGGAATAATTTCTTGAAACATTGATTCCACCTCAGTATCTCTATGCTTCACGCATCCAAAGAAGTTACAAATGTCACTGTGTAAAGCATGCAGGTGTGTCTGAGTCTGCATCACAGCTTCCTCGAGAGCAAGTAACCTTGCCTCGGCATTTGATTGTGTAGTACCTGCAAATTGCTCATGAGCAGATTCTTTAGATTTAGGATTTTCAAGTCCTAATAGCAGTGGGAGTCTGACTCTAGTCATGCCCGATAAACCAGGTAAAATTTCATCAAAAGTATTTTCCTCAACTTTTTTCTTACGACATAAAGCGGTAATTAAGTTAGGAAACACCAAAGCACTTGCCTTTTTACCCAAACAATCGTTAACTTGCTGAACAATAATACGACCCATATCGATCAGACGAGATTTCATTATAGAATGTAAAAGCAATAAGTGTGAAAGTGATACCGTCATGTTGTGAGAAGTCGGCATGAGTTTATGCTTAAGGAAGTGATTCCATAACTTGGCGCGCGACTGAAGACGTTCTCGGTTGACTGAGTATCGACTCGTTTGACGCCCATTCCACTCAGTTTTTTCAAAACAAATGTCCTCCAAGACCCCATCGTATGTGTTGCTATCAGTCTCCTCTTCGAACTTGGCATGGTTATCTACAACATCCTACAAATGAAAATAACGATTAATAGCAGAAGGTGTAAAACGAATCTGCTTACCGCGAACGAAGATGGAGTATTGGTTGGGCTTAGAAATATTCGCGTAGAACTCCTTAACCACCGAGGCATTCACCGAACCAGGATGATGGGTAAATTTTTCCACTTGAGCGGTGTCACGATGTCCATAACATCGGGTCCAAAACCACCATCAGTTTCATCGGTAAAAATAAATCCTAACTCAAAAAAGCGTTTCCAGTTCTTGAAGTTTTGGAACCGAGCCTTGGCCTCGTCATCTTCGAACTGTTGCCAAGCGGTAGTGTCGTTGGAGCGGGTCTTGAACGCACCATTTTCGTGTATATATGAAGCAAGAAAAATGATAAAGGAAGAAACTTTTGAAAGCTTTAAAAACTTGGATGTATTTTGGCTATGGAGAGAATAACAAAAGAAGAAGATGAATGAAGGAAAGAGAAAAAGTAAAAGTTAAAATGAAAGAGAAAAATTAATAAAGAAAGAGAAAAGAAAAAGTTAAAAATTTAAGAGGGAAAATGTGTGATAGGATGGTTAAGAGAGGAGTGAGTGGGTGGGGGTTTGTGCGTGCATGGGAAAGGAAAAAAAACTGCTAAAAGGTAATGATGGTGATAGGACAAGTCTGTGGAAAGAGAAAAAGAAATGTCAGAAATTAAATTAAATAAAAAGAAACAAATCAAAAGAATATCTCTCCAATTAATGCATTGTCCTTTCCTCCCTTTGGTAACCGCTTCTTGCACGATTTGCAGCACTGTGGTCCCTACAAATCATATAAAAAATTAATTACAAAATAAAAATAAAAATAAAGAAAAACTTAAATTTTAATTTTTTATTTATGCACAGACACAAATTCAATGCCGTGGCATCTAATTTTGGTTCTCCTCTGGGCACACTTCAGTATCGTGCAGACGTAACACGTCCTTGTTGTGTGGTGGTGGAACTCCATTGTAGGCTTTCAGACGGTGGACATTGACCTTGAAGAT